CAACCACCTAACGCTGCCTAAAAGCTCAAAAGTAACTTTCATTAGCTTTGAAACGCAGCTGACTTCTGGAATAAAAGTTCGTTGGGCTAGAAGCCCACCCAAACAACCAACAATACCTAAATAAGTTACAAACCTCAGTTTCACATATTCCAAGACATTTTTGTAGTTTCTAACGGCAATCCAAACATGCCTAAAAAAGCCAACAGCGTCTTACTTTTTCAAACGTCTGAACACGCATCACAAAAATACTTTTTTTTTTGGCCAAACACAAAGATACTTAAATCCAGTAAATATACTCGTCATCATCCTATTATTGCTGCGGCGCTTTCAAGCATCCCAAACTTAAGTTTGCAGATTTCAATTTGTAAAACTTTCAATTTTACAAACACTAATTCAAGTACAGGTTGAGCTCCTTGCTATTATAAAATAAGAGCACAAGTTTGCCTAATGTTAGCTTTATAATCGCTGAAGTTATTGATGGTCATACAAGTGGGATTTGAATCCTTTTTCAGTACATTCACTCAATCTTTTACTTGATATATATTGCTGACAAATCTTATTGTTGGATTTCAAATGAGATACCTCTCCCATCCCAAATTCCTGACAATTAATAGATTTGAACCATTTAAATTTGATTTTTTTCTGCTGAAATTTGGTTGAAATTATTAAAATTCATATTCTAAATATATTTATTTTCAATTAATTCTTGGGTAGAAACTCTTTTTTTTTTTTACTTAGTATCTAAGTGAATCATTTTTATTTTACACTCTACTGCCTTTAAAACAACTCAGCTCAAGGTCACATAGAGGATGAAACTACTTGCTAACTTAGATTGCTTTTAGTGACAAGTTTTTGTCTTTTGTATATGCCTTTTTACCCATACAAAATAATATTAAGCGTTAAAATATAAATTTGTCCAGAAATTTTCATTTATGAGGGCTGGGCTCTCAAAATTTTTTTAAGTGCAAATTTGCTCGGAAAATATAAATCGTAGCAATTTTCCTCTAATGGTTAAAAAAGTAATGTTAACTATTAAAATAATAATGTTGATTGCTGATATTATTATTAATAAAGGATAAAATTGCTACATTTTAAATTTTTATAATTAATCTGTATCTAAAAAACTTTCAAGTGCTAAACGTTCTTGAGTGAAAACTTAAAAGGAAATATTAAATTAAAATTGAGAAAAAATATAAGCAGCTTTAAAATGATAATTTTTATTAAATTAGATAAATAAACGAACTACATGCCTTATAACATTTAATATTAACAATAAATTTTACAATTAAAATTATATATTTTGAGGAAGCCATAGGGGGAAAAAAACGATGGTATGAGTATGGTAGTTAGATATATGCGAATATATGTGACTATAAAAATGGAGTAGTAGAAAATTGAATTTATGAAGCTGAGCAAGAAGTCCACGGGCTTGAGTCAACTAGGCATGGGTTCTCCAGTCTCCATCTTGGCAGGCGGGCGAATGATTAATGAAATACAAAGCCTCCTCTTTTGACTAGCCATATGTATACATTTCCCCTTGAACTGTCAGTGTCAGGCCAGCATATTTGCGGTTCTCGAATCAACTACTTCCAGTGCTACATTCTCTGACCAGTGACCAATGCGCAGCCAGCCATGACCTTTTCAAAATAATTATATTCCTCATGCCTTGTTACATTTAGTGCTCCCCCATTTCTTTTCTTTTTTTTTGTTGAAAAATTGCTTTTATTTATCCATCGTTTTAGAAGCTTAAATTAATGTTAGTTCGACATATGCATATCCTAAATCTAGTACTCTTTTATGGGGGTTGTGTGAGTGCATATACTATTTTTATTTTTAATATAAAAGTTTAATTGACTTTCACTTTTATTTTATATCTAAGACTTTCGATCTACTTTATCTCTCATATTTATTTATTTAAAGTACTCATTGTAGTAGTTGTACATATTAAAAGTTTTATCAAAAGATAGTTTTAACTAATACATATCATTAATAAGGATATTTTTAAAAAGATAATACTTATTTATTACAAATAGTTGACTTAACAAACTTACATAATCTACTCAAATTAATTAACTAACTCTCATACTCCTCTGATTCTTAATATAGGACCTGATTGTTAAGTTAATTTTGGTTATAAATATAATACCTATTTCTAAATTACTCTTATTAGGGCTGGTAAAACAGGCCAACCCGGGAGTTGCGGGTTGGCCCGTGGCGGGCTGCGGGTTACATGGTGTGGGCTCAAAAAGCCCATTTTCTGGCGAGTTGGCATTCTGTCAATCCTAACCCATTAACCTGTCAAAATTTATTTTTTTCCCTCTTCCTTTTTTATATGTTAGCACTATGTTATAAATAATCAAAAATTAAAAAAAAACACCAGAAATGACTTAAAGTATTCTAAATATTCAAACAAAATTACAACACATTAAAATACAAACAATCTAAAGTCCAAACTCTAAAAATGATAAAACACAAGTTCAAACATATTTTTTCCATCTTGATCTAATTATCTCTAACAACAATGACATTTGAAACTGAAGTATTATTTGAAACTAGTTTAATATTGATTTTGACAGTATTAGCAGCACTTTCCTTTTGCTCAGGTTCATTTGCCACAAGTAATTGAAAAATGTGAAAGAAACATATGATAATAATTAAAATAATGCAAACTATTCCTATTACAAATAAATGAATAAATATAATCATATTACCAAATAGAAAACCCATAACCCAATTACCAGTGCAGATAAGGTAGGGCTTCAATGCTTTGATCATTCCACCTCCCATAATATTTTAATATAAAAAAAAAATTAGGCGGGTTGCAAGTTGAACCCGCCAACCAGTGGGTTAACCTGCCAGGGGTTCGGGTTATAACAGTGCGGGCTCATATTTATGAGGTCGTGGTAGGTTAGCATTTAGCCAACGCTGACCCACCTTTTTTGGTGAGTTGGACCTGCGGGTCCGACCCATATTACTAGTTTTAACTCTTATGAATACTCTCTCAATTATAATTAAGTAAGTGAGAGAGAGAGGATATTAAGAAAGATGATTATGATGTTTTAGGAAAAACATGTCATATTTCTTATAATTAACTAACTTACCTAATTTTTTAAATCTAATCAAATCAGTTAAATAAATTTTATATTAAGGATCGAAAGAGTATTAAAAACTGTAGGTAGAGTTTGTTTTAGCCGAAAAGTTAAAGCCAATTTCTCAAGTTGGGGCGCAAGTCAAACTTAAGTTGATGATTGAGGAGGAGCTCGAGATACGGCAGATGATTGAATAATTACTAAATCAGTTAATTGGATTTTATATTAAAACTTTGATCCAGAAGACGAATTGATGGGACGATTATCAACTTATTGACTATTAAAAATTAGTTGAAAAAGTCATGGCTTGCTCAGTTGAAAAAGTCGTGCTTGAATTTTCTCCCAAAAAGCCTGGTCAATTACCATTGAGAATTCAGAAGAAGGCGTCACCTTTAAAATTAGTAAGACATCTCCTCACCAATTTTTTTAATTACCATCTATTTAAATACACATACACACAAACATATGTTAATATCAAATTTAAATTTGAAATCCCACCTTAACATAGCAAACAATGCTATCATTGAAATCATTTACTGTTGGCATCTTCCGTGTATTTTCAAATTTGAATAATCACTTAAAAGCTCTTATCTTTATGCTTAAATAAATAATTACAATTTTAATTCTTAACCTTTATGCATAAAGTAAGTTAAGACTGTAAAGTTTATCTTTTTCTCTTTCGTAAAAATAATACAGTTTATAATATAATTTGTACTACAAATTAGATTTTATATTTGAAATCAAAAGTAGTAGTATATTTTATAGTCTTTATTACTGAATGAGGATAATTTAGTGTTAAAAAAAGGAAAGTATTTTTCATAATATTTTATATATCGTGATTGAGTATTTGAGTTGCATATTCAAATTACTATGATTAATTACTTTGGTGCGCAATGAGGATATATAGTAATGGGTTCAATTCTACTGGATTAGTTTAGTCCCCTTGCAATTTTTCCCCCCAGATTAGCGGTCAACTTAAGTTGAATTTGTGAAGACTTGGTAACATTTGTAGAAACTTTTGTTTGTTTAACTTTTTGTTATTTCTGTTATGATTCATAAATTAGTAAGTATGTCCAGTTAGAGATTAAATATCATTTTCTCATTTTTCTTTTGCCACTATCCATGTTCATATATTTATCTTATTATTATTTAAACTTTTTTCAAAAATAAAAAACCTACATCATTTTTGTAAAATTTATATACTTATATTTTAAATCAGTATAAATTTAAAAATATAAAAAAATTAAAATAAAAAATGTCCAATTTAATCTAATAATTGAGACGAACAAGTTCTTTTCAAATCTGAAAATATAAAAAGACTAAAAAAAATAGCAGGCCCACACACAATTTCTTTTCTTTCTGTCCCTCTCCCTCCCTTGTTTTTAATTTTTTAAAACCTCAATCACACTGACTCAGTCACCACAATTCAACTACTCCGTCCGTTTCTTATTATAAAAAACATTTGATACTTATAACATGTTTCTATATATAAGAGATACTTAAAACTTATCTCTATTTTTTTGTATTGATTTCCTATTTTACCCCTATTTATTTTGTTTTCAACTCATACTCTCTCTCTTTCCTACTTCTCTTTTTTTTAATAAGTTAATTGTTCTCTCTCATACTCTCTCTCCTTATCAACGGAGGTATTATTGAAAAAACAGTGTACTTTTTACATATTAATTGTCTCAACTAATTTTAACTTTTTTTTAATCAACGTAATTTGGTTATTTGTCTCTTATAATAAAGAAAGGAGGGAGTAATTTTTTTGGATGAAATTTCAAATAAAATTTTCAAATTCTTTTTCTCAGAGAAGCTTTTTTTCCTTTTTTCGGTGAAAAAAGGAAAGAACGATAAGAATATAATTAACTAACACAGTATAGCAAGTAATGTACTAATGCGTCGATTCTCCGTTGGAGCGAAGGAGGCGTCGGAAGAAACCAGCAAGGACAATGCAGAAACAATATTAACTGAATTGTCCGCGCCTTGATGCTCTGTTGTCTTTTCCGACTCCGAAAGCCACACGCCCCAGCCATCATCATCATCAAATCAACAGAAGCTTCTTCATCTTTTGTTTTCCTTTAACTTTAAGCTATCACTAATCAGATCTCCATTCTTTTTTCTCTATTTATTGTTTCTTCCCCCAACCTTTTGGCATGCTCGCCTCCAATTCTGGTTCGGTGCTCCCTACTAAAGCCCCTTTACTTCCTCGCAACCCCTGTCTTTTTCGCTTTGGCACTGCTTTCTTGGATCCACGGGCTCGATCCAGACCCACCGTCCTTGATACGCATAAGCTTTCCCTCAATTTGATCAGAATGGAAGTGCTCCGGCGATTAGGCGGAGGTTGCTTCAAGAACCCCAACGACAAGGGTTTAAAGGTGGAGGCTGATAGTGGTGGGGAGGATTTCTTCGATGTTTCCGCAGGCGTGTCTAAGCCAGCCTGCGAGCACCTTGTAATCATGGTTAATGGGATAATTGGGAGGTATTGTGCCCCGGCGCGCGCTCTTTATCATTTATTTTTCTTTAAGTTGTTAATGGTTCATCAGTTTCTTGGAAAAATTTGTACTTTTCTTAATCTTATGGCATTGCTGCCTGCTTTGGGACATTACATGGCGGAAGAATATTAAATAGATTAAGTCTTTTACTTACTACACAGTAAGAGTTGATTGGAGATGGTTGCCATAAAATACGGGGATGAGGAAATTCAAAAGGAACGGGTGAATTTTATTTTCTTAAATTAGTCATGGTACGAGAGAATAACTTGGATTGAGTGTTTGAGCATGTCTAAGTTTTTCTTTTGGGTGGTTAGTATATCTTAAGTTTCGTAGTGAAAGGTTTCCAAGTACTCAAAGATCATCTTCAATATCAGATTGTTTAAATTGCTTCTCAATCAGTAGTCGATGTTTAGCAAATACCCTAAATATAAGTGGCACCCCCGCCCTCCCAAAAAGGGGGAAAAAAACTCCCCTCCCCCCCCGGGGGGGGGGTTCTGAAAAAAAACAAAACTCTCTTTTCCCAGATGCTTATCTCCCTTGAGCATCACGCATTGGAATATCCGAGCATCTGAACTTAATAGCGCCTCAGTAGAATAATTTTCCCCTGAACATGGTCCTGAGGTCCTCTTTGAAGGCCATGATAGTAGCTAGGAGACGACACATTGCTTATTTACCCTCTTAATTAACGTGCCCGTCCTTATATCTCAAAATGAAGATTTATGCTATTTCCTTTCTTGTGTGCGTTCTTATGAGAGCATATCCATCTACTTTTAGTCACTTTGAAAGGTGAATTTGTTGTGGCTTTCTAGTAAGGAAAGAAGGAGTGCCATCAATCTAAATTCAATTTGGTCCCTAGGGGAACATCCTTTTGAGTTGAAACTCAATTTTACCCTGAGAAAATAATTTTTCTGTGTGATCTTATGAGCTGAAATGCACTTCATATCAGTCCTGCAGATTGGCGTTATGCAGCAGAGCAGTTTGTGACGAAGCTTCCAGATAAAGTTATTGTTCACCGTGAGTATTCCTGTTATATTAGCTACTGGTTTCATTGTCAACAATCCAATGGAATAAAAGCAACATCATCGTTCATATTAATGGATTATTGACTTTCTTTCTTGGGTTGATGATCTCTATGTAGGTGATGGCATGACTAACTACGTACTTTCTCATTTTGATTGTTATTCAGATCAATTCTTCTGTCTTTCTCTTTCATGAAATTATGATGTAAAGCATTTTGCTCAGTAAAGGGGAGAGTGATTGCAAGAGTTATTTTTTGTTGTTTTTGCCTTCTATCTACAATATAGTACAAACATTGTTCTACTTTGTATATTCTTTTGGTTCTTTCTGTGAAATTGCGAACTTCATTATCGTCTACTTTTACATCTCTTGCATTCTGCATAGGACGTGTGTTTAGCATGATATTTTGTGGACAGGCAGTGAATGCAACTCTTCAAGATTGACATTTGATGGTGTTGACAAGATGGGTGAGAGGCTAGCTGAAGAGGTATTTCGGTAATAATGATATTATCCTTTTTTCAGGACGTACAAACATCTTAATTTCTCATATTTCTCTGATTCTGCAGCTGTAATTTCATAGGAATATTAACTTTGACATGGCTCATTTCATATCTGGGTATTTGGCTTCCAATAATTTCTATGCAGGTACGGTCTGTTGTTAGACGTTGGCCAGAGGTGCGAAAGATCTCCTTTGTGGCTCATTCTTTGGGGGGTTTGGTGGCCAGATATGCTATTGGGAGACTTTATGACTATTCTTCAACATCGAGGCCTGTAGGTACAAGTGCAACCAGAAATGACTTTGGTGAAGAGCAAGCAGAATATTCAAAACAATGTCTTGAGCAATGTTACGAGGCCACAATTGCTGGTTTGGAGCCAATGAACTTTATAACATTTGCAACGCCACATCTTGGTTCAAGAGGACATAGACAGGTTCTTAAGCTTGCTTTGAACCGTCATTTCAAGATTCAGTATAATTATTAAGTCTTTTGTCTGTTCTTTGAGGGTACTTTTGGCTTGTCTCTCCTTTTTTCCGTCTCGTTTCTGCCACAGTTGCACTAAACTGCCAGTGCTTTGGGGCTGACACATCTATCCACTTCATTCTCTACTCTTAAACTTTCTTTTGACTCCATTTGAGTTAACATCTGTGGCACATGAAAGGCATGTCAATGTAAACATGGTGCAATAAGTGCAATCTTATTTTTATTTTCTCTTTGTTTACTGCAAAATTTCTTCTGAAATCCACTTCCATCAAAGCGTAACACTGATTGATTTTACCTATTTGTTCCACCACCATAAACTATAGATTAGTCATCATTATTGTTTTATTTTATGATATTTGAAACTTTTGATGTTTGTATATGATATTCTGATGACAAATGAAGAGACATGTTAACGATAGAAAGTAGTTGCCTTTTGAAGACGCTGTTCCTTTCCATGGTAGACTTGGTAGCTATATATCTACAAAAGCAAGTTTTTAAGGGTATTCTTTTTATGAATCATTGAACACGTTTACAAGTCTGATGCCATTTGGGCTTGATTTTCTGCGTATGCATTTTTATCTTTTTATGTTCTGTTTATTTCAGTGAATGTACCATTGTTATATTTTGTTAGTCTGTTGACCCTGTGCCAATTTATTCATGAATTGAAGTCTCAAGTTCTTATATTGGAGGACCATCCCTTATTTCTGTTATTTTGTATTCGTGATTTTAGCTTCCCTTTCTTTGTGGCCTTCCTTTCCTTGAGAGAAGAGCATCCCAAACTGCACATATAGTTGCAGGGAGATCTGGGAAGCATCTCTTCCTTGTGGATAATGATGATGGAAAGCCTCCTCTTCTCCTGCGTATGGCTGGCGATTCTGATGACGTAAAGTTCATGTTAGTATCAATTTGTAAGTTTACATAATCAGATGCTTATATTCCATTTGCATTATTGCTCAGCCAACTGTTACTGATGGTGTAGATCAGCTTTACGTGCATTTAAGCGCCGTGTGGCATATGCAAATGCAAATTATGATCGTATCCTCTTTTTAATTTATATTTTGAGGTATTTACAAAATTTCTGTTGCGCAAAGCTCTAAATTTATGGAGTCAGCAATCTATTTCAAAGTTAGCAGATGCTAAGTTCTTCCTAAAAGTTTAGCAATAATTTTTATTTTCCAAAATATAGCTTAACTTAGCTTGAAGATATGGTTGGATGGCGTACATCATCAATTCGGCGTCAACATGAACTTCCAAAGGTAGAGGCTTTCTTCATCTCTTCTGCCTTTCTTCCTATATGGCTTTTTCACGCTAACTTCTGTTCCTTCTTTTTCTGCCAGGCCAATCTGCTTGTAGTAGATGAGAAATACCCTCATATTGTATATAGTGAAGGGGAGACTGTTAAAGACGATCACAATCCCAATAAAGCATCTTCTGCTATCAATGACCAATCAACTGACTTGGAAGGTACCTTTTCGTTTTTTTTTTTTTTGGGAAAAAACTCCATGATATACTCTTTTTTTTTTTTTTTTTCCAATTCAGTGTTTACATACTTCTCTTGCATACAACAACGACAACAACAAGTCTTATCCCACTAGGTGAGGTTAGCTACATGAATTGTATGGGGATTGGACAGTATGAGTAATACCCTCATTTATGTGGAAGGAAGAGAATGTGTGGTGGAGAGAGAATATGTTGAAAATTAATACAATGATATGAGTAATATGAGTAATTAAATGGAGGTAAAATGGGAAAT